GGGTAATCACGCCTGAGTTCAGGTTGCAATATATAAATGATACATTGAATATACAATACCATACATGTCCCTATTTGAATCAATCTCATATTCATTGAGTACATTCAAATAGTGGTAATATATTCAGTATCATTCAGTAACGTTAACAATGTTAACGGCATGTTGCATTTATTATTCTTGAACTGGAATGGGAATTATCACAGTAAAGTAATAAATACCATTCGACATACAGTGTTATGTCTAGCCACACTGTAGTAGTTTCATTAACAACTGTATCGGAGCTTACCGGCGTAAGTGGAAAAACCCAACGGCGCTATGCGTTCAAAATTTTACCACTCTAAGCGTCTGCAATTCGTGGTAAATAACGCAGCTAGCTGCGTTTTTCATCGATACGCGAATCGACCGATCCATCGCTGAAGCTAGTCAATTGTGACACATTTCTGTGTACACATTTCTGCAAACTTTAAACATAAAAAGTTGTGTTTTATAATGGCGTCTAGGCGAGATCATTAAGGTTTCCTGACAGCCAGGTACCGTACATACTACACGTATGTACATAACCACCATTATAAATGCAATGAGGCGGTATTATAGCAATAATCGGCACTATTGCACTATTACAACCCCAGTAGGGGTGAGATGGGTCAAAAAAATTTTCGCTGAAATTTTGGCTATGGGGGTTATCGAGGGCTCTGATCACGAATATGATATTCATTTTTGGCGCTGGCGCCAATTTGGCGCCATTTGGCGCCAGGTGGCGCCACGACTGATTCCCACTAAATTCGCTGTAAACTGTAAACTTCTGTATAGGGGTTATTTGGGGTCCTGATTACGAATATGACATTCGTTTTTGTTGTTAGCGCTATTCGGCGCCTATTTCCTGCTCGTCTGCGCCCTCGCACTAATTAGATCGCAATCAGGACTAAGCCTTTGAATAGTGGAGGGCTCCAAAGTGAGTAGGGCACTCCCCTGTGGTCTAACACACTCCAACTTTTGCCACACGGTGCGTGGTTCACCCACTCCGGAGTTTCACTCCCCTCCCCTAAGCTTAGTCCTAGGCGCCATAGGTGAGAGAAGCCTAGAAAATCAGAAAATATGCGTTAAACAGCACGAATTTATACGGAAAACCAGTGTCATATTCGTGATCAGGGCCCCAAATAACCCCTATTCAGAAGTTTACAGCGAATTTGGTGATAATCAGTAGTGGCGCCAGCTGGCGCCAAATGGCGCCAATTTGGCGCCAGCGCCAAAAAGGATGTCATATTCGTGATCAGGACCCTCGATAACCCCCATAGCAAAAGTTTCAGCGAAAATTATTTTTGACCCATCTCGGCCCCACTGGGGTTGTAATAATGCAATAGTGCCAAAAGCTCATCAAGTCTCAAGCTCAACATAACCGATGGGAATTGTGGGTAACTTTACGATGGTCATCGCATCTCGCATCATTAGAGCGAGCTTACTTTCCACATAGTAACACCTCAAACGATTAGAGCTTTTATCAGCCTTATCAGCTCGTTATCCAACTGTCTTACCCATCCATATGGGTATCACGTTTCCATGGTCCTACAATCATACTAAAAATACAGCGCTCCATTGCTGCAGCGAAGCGCGCCATGAATTTCGTGACAAACGGACGCACCCACACATACAGAGATATACTCACCGATTTATATATTGTAGGATTCCGCACCAGGATCAACCGTCATGTTTTGTTCATTTTCCGGATTTTTGCGACCCCCTCCCCTCTCGAGGGATCCATTTGCGGCCCCACTGTTGTTGCTCTTAAAGCAACAATCCAGGAACGAATTCGCGGGTAAGGACTGCCTATAATGACGTTGCAGGTGAGAAGTTGGTCAATGGAGAAAGAAAAAGTAGAAAAAACGTCGGGACAGGGACTGCCCTGCCGTTTAGGGAGACGTGTGTTGGACGAGTTGTCCGAACCTGCCCGTAGTACATGCGCTTTAATTGCAACTGCTGGCAAATAGCTGCATGCTTGCAAATACATAACTATTTGCCAGCAATCGAAATTGAAGCGCTTCAATTGCGTTCTTATGGAATCGACCTCATACAGCGCGGCGGTCCCGCAACGACCGCTAGTCAAGCACGGACTCTGCACAGCGTATGTTGAGCGATCCGCCTCGGTATGAGGTGATCCGCCCCCTCCAAGAGGACTTCGACCCCTTCCAGCGCATTTTAGAGGTAGGTTTTGAACTTAAAGACATTTCCTATAAACTTTAGTTGGGCTGGGGCATGTTTTGACCGCCTAATGACCAAGTAGTTGAAACCCTGCCTGGACTGTTGCTTTAAGGAGTGCATCACTTACCACTTGACTTGATTTATGGTTCAGATGGACTAGCCAAAAAGAATCCTTGCATTCTCCATCCTCGAGCTGGAGCCGAATAGGCGTCAAATCCAACTGATTTTTAAGGGAGAGTGAAGCGTGGTCGCGCACGAAACAAAAATGGAAAGAAAGAAATGGATACAAAACATCAAGTAGTAGCGGCGGAAGACTCACGATAACTGAAGATTTGGCGCGTCTGCGTAGCGGCGTCAGCCTTGGAGCGCGGCAGGTATCACCCGGACGCTGAGAGAACGGGACGCGGCGAAGAAATAATTTTAGAGGGGAATAACTTTCTTGGGACGTACTTTTTTGACTTGTTGAGGTAGATTTTGACTGTGCGCTTTCAGAAAACTACAAGGATTGCCTAACTCTCCGGAAAGTACTTCTGTTAGAAGTGGAAAACCCAAAATTCTAAGAAGGCGCACCTTCAACTTTGAAGGCCCATAATATCTTTCGTATGCGACATTTTGGAAAGCTGTAAAAAGTTTCAGAAACTTCAAATATTTCTCTAACAAAACAGTATAAAAAGTTTAGTGATTGTCCCCTTTTTCAAAAAATTGTCCCGTTCGAACATTTTTCGTGCAAAAGCGAGTTTTTGGGCTTTCAGCGACCATAACTCACTTCATTTTCATTTCTGTGATGCACTTTTTTCATGGGGTGAAAGTACAGGATTTGCTCTTTCTAACAAGCACCAAACCGTTTTTCAAAGTTCATTTTCGAGAAAATCACACGTTCGAACATTTTTTCCCATAGGTTTTTGAGCAGCACATGCGAGTTTTTGAGCTTTCAGCAATAATAACTTCCTTCAAAGAGCTTGTTGGGGAGGGCGAAGACATTTTTGAAGACTACGAGATTTCTGCTTCCTTATGTGTTTTACAGTTGTCTGGAAGAATCGTCCTCAGAAAATTAGGTCCCGAAGAACTTTAATTTCAGCCCCGAGAAGTCAAACCTTTCATAGGGATGCATTCAACTGTTCTTTATTCCTCAAGAAAACACCGTAATTTGCCTAAAACTGTCTCTCTGTGCATAATAAATCGAATCTAATGCGGTCTGCACAAGCAAGTCTTGCCCTCGGATACGCCACGCACGCGCCTGTGGCTGGCATTTGGAAGTCTATTTCATCTTGCTATGACCCGGACTTGCTCAGTTTTTGGCACTGCTACGCTCTGATGCGACGAAGCGAGCTCTCCCTAAAAGCTTTGCTGAAGACAGAAAGATTTTTTTACGATGTATAGTAATTCACGCGGAGAAACACTTCAGGACGAAACGGCGAGCCTGGAAAGAATAATTATTTTGAGTTTATGACAACTTCATGTTCTTTATGAGCGTTCCTCCCCAGTCCTTCATCCACCGATCAACTACCGTCGCGATTTCGGTTGCGGGTCCTTGAAATTGCGACCCCCTCCTCGGGCCCATGACAAAATGCGACCCTTTCGTTCGAAGTAGTGCGAATCGTAACGGTGTGTGACCTGTTTCCGCATCCCCAATCAGGCGGTTAAGATGTAGGACTGGTATGATTTATGTCCAGTTCGGGGTCAGAATGATGTGTAAGGAGCGACAAACTAATAAAATTAACTGAGAAGGCTGCGGACATTCGCTATGAATGGTTTGTTAATGATATGGTTGGAAGGCTCTGTTCAATTGCATGATTAAACAGATTACTTGAACAGTTATCTGTTATTACGCAAGATGATGTTACAGTCGAGGTAGTAGGAGAGGTTGGGGAAGGAAGGGGGCGGAAGAAGAATATAAGCATCCCTTCCACGAGGGTTGTTGTCTCACGAGAGGAATGTGCATAACTGACGGCGTAAAGCTTACACAGTTAAGGAAGGTCCTAGCGGCAGCAGGAAGCAAATGGTGAAGTGAGACTCGAAAAATGCAAAAAACTCGTTGTGGCAAAGATCGATATCTGCCGGATGCGTCAAAACCTGTTTGTTTCAAGGGCATCAAGAGGTGGGGGGGGGGGGGGAGGGGCAGGAGTCGGCGACGTTGCGCGCAGCTTGAGTGAGCCTTCTGAGAGGAAGATAGTGTAAACGCGCACATTCCCATTTCCACACATTTCTAGTGGTTTTCCTAGTCTTCATTTCTCTGAACTGACTAGATCCCCCTTCGTTTACGGCCCTTACTCCGAGTCATTACTATGTCGCTTAGACAGCGGCGACAGGCTGTCGCCGAGTGATCCTCCCTCCCAAATCCCATTGCACACTTGTTTCGCTATTTTCAGTGTTGAGTTTCGAAAAATGCACCTTGTTGGACAATGAGACGCGGTTGCGCGTCTCAGAAATCGCGCCCGCCAACTGCCCTTGTCCCACGTGGCCAAAAAAGCCAAAACGTGCGTTGTCGTCAATGTTTTAGTAAGATATGGTCAAACTATGCTGTAGTTGCCATCCCAGTTCAACACCTTTTGATCCTAACTGGATCCCCTTTATTGGTCCTTGCATTTATGCCTCACCCTGTATTTCAGGTGCACTGCTAATAAAAGAGAAAAAACCAATAATGTACTGGAAGCAAAGTATGAATCAAAGGTAAGTAGAAATTCCTCATGACAGCAAAGTAGAGTGTGGCTATCTCCAAGGCTAGCCTTCCTGATAAAATTCTGAGTTTATAAAGGGCTGTTGATAAATTCTCACAGTCATTTTTAGTTGTGAAGGTGTAGCAGATGGTCGAATGTTGGCCGTTGTGCGTTTTGAACGCAGTGCTGGCCTACTTCTCAGCTGCGTACTTAATAAACCTCTGCTCGAAGAGAAAGGTGGGCTTAGAAAGGTTTGCCTTACTCCTCTCAACCAACTAGTTCCTATATGTATTCTTGTCTAGGACAAGCAACAGCAAAGTTCCGGATCCAGGGGTAAATTGTTCTTTGATGATTCCATGCTAGTTCTATTGTTCAATGTCACTTTGTTTCAGATTCTAAACAACCGTACGTTCCACCGCCCCAAGCACCCAAGCCTCCGGCGGTACAAGGAGTGGCAGGTTTGCTGGCACATTTCGGATACTGAAAGCCCTTCTGTTGAGTTTGCAAGTTCAGGCACATACGATCCGAACTATCAGACCTTGGCCAATATCCAAGGTGATGTTTTCGGGGCCGACAAAAAGGCTGCTCCAGCTCCCGCCATCAAAGCAGGAGGACCTGGAATGGCAGGTACCTTCTATGACCTCTCTTTATTCCGTCAAAAACATTTAGTGCCTTTCGCGCCCTGCCAGAGAATCCTACAGTTTTTAAGTCACGCTATTCGCCCTTTTGGACAAATAACGCTGCAATTGGAGCGTGAGCATTGAGTGGCGTTGCCCACCTGAGATGTCCATTCATAATGTGTTTTTCATACGCCGTGTTCGCATGAATTGCGGCGACTTAGGTGGCACTTTTGAAGATGACGGACTCTCCCAAGTGGGGTGCCTACACGGGAACAGCGACGCCACAGCTCGACGGCGTTCTCTCTTGCAATGATTCAAGTGGAAACGTATTGTATAAGAAACAACTAATCAGCGGTACACCTTCCCTTCCTCAACAGCTCCAAAGGATGGGGCTATCCCCGCTCCAAAAGCACCGGCGCTTTAGAGTAGAGTAGTTGAGTAATGAATATGTACGTGCATAGCCTATGTTCATTTTCGATTCTAGTTGAGAAATCGGTGTAACTTTGTTAAAGCGAGGGATTACGATAAGTTGGACTGGGTTCATGGTGGAAGTGGAGATGCTGAATAATGCCCCAGTGGCGAAAAAAGCAAAGAAATCCGTCAAAACGCGCAAAATGGGACCCCTTTCTTTGCCCGTTGACCTCCGATAATGGACGAGCTAGCAACCAATAAGAGGTCGTTTGCACATGTTAAACCGATAGCCACCATCATACCAGCAAAGGCCATGCTTTGATTGGTAACGCATTCCATGGGAAAGTTATAGGATACGCACTCAAGCGGAATACCTCATCAAAATGATAATCGAAGGGCGCTGCTGCTGGGGGCGGTGGCGGAGCTCAGAAAGGAATGGCAAGCCCAGTACGCTGCAGCTAGCGCACCTTTGGCCACAAAAACGCCACATTTCGCTTCCTTCGGCCCCTGACTACTGCTTAAACTTATGCATGCACTTCCACGCTGCACACACACTTTATCGTAATACCAAATTGGTCCCCCGGCAACCGCCGGAACCTCCCTTGTCTGCGTAAGCTTTGCTTTCTTCCTTCCTCTCCTTACTCTCCCCTCCTTCCATTGCTCTCCAGCTGCCACAGCAGCACCTTGTGAATGACCGAAAGTGTGCTAAGTGCGTGTTTATATAGCCGT